AGTTTGATTATTGTCAGCTTTGTATATTTTGTTTTGCATAAATCATTGTAGATCTTGTGACCTGTTACGCATAAGTTACTAAGACCACTTCCTCTTCGGGGCGGCTAACCTCTGTCTTTAGATGCGAATGGTAAGTGGGTACTAATAATGTCAAGTATAACTGCCTAAAAAAATAGTCAACGTATTCCACCCGGATCAAGCAAGATTTCCTCTGACAGTGGGCAGGCGAGTATGAATGACCACATTAGCTAGACAGGTTAATGTAACAAGCAGTGACTCTAAAAAAGCTTAAATTTGCATCTGATTATCAATCAGGGTCTTTAAAAAAGGGTTTTGAAAATTTCATGTTGGCTTCAGCACACAGACGAAGTGCCTCATTATGGCCGAGGAGTGGAAGCCTTCAAGATGAGACATCGATGCTCAACACACACCAAGGGTTCGAGGAATGGCTAGACCTTGCCAAGTGCTTCCGTCAAGAGAATCTTTGTGTTGATAATCCTTCCGAAGAGACAAAACGAACATTAGGATCGCCAGCAAGCTGACCATCAGATGATGCAACATTGGTCAAAGCAACTAGAAATGTTGCCAGGCGCTGTAAAATGCAATTGATCAAATTATGCGATTAGTTACTATAGCAAGGAATGCTTTGCGGAAAATACACAGTTCAGGACTGTTTATTACAGTAGGAATAAAAGAGGCAATGATAATAATGGTTTGCACCAAAGAGTTAGTACGAGCTTTTGTGGACGTCCAGGTGAGTGGATGCGCCAATACATAAGGAGCAAACAGTCCGTAAAAAGCACAAAAACTTTGGAGCCATAGCTTTTCGACGCCAGGATTACAGCATGAGTTGATGTTCGAAGGAAAACAATGCATCAGAAAATCATAAGTTTTAGAAGCCGATTTTTTGGTCTTCATTCTGATCCTTGAGACAATTTCATCTTATTAAATTGTTTTGGAGAAAAAATGTAAAAGCGAATTTTTCATTAAAAAATACTCGGGAATGTTTCTTCTGAAGACCGGATTTACGAAAAGGAAATTAGCTCGGAAATGAATTTTCAGGAAGAAATTTTACGGAAAAAAATTACAAGCAAAGAACTTCAGGGAGAAACAGCAAGCAGAGAAACTGAGGAAGGGGTCGTAATGATGAAATCTCGGGATGGATTTTCAAGAGGAACACGATATCCACAGCTGCATCATCCTTGCAGACCTGGTACGGATAATGGAATTGGTTCGATTGGTGGTCGTGCATTTTCCACTTTCACTTGTTCCACATACTTATGGGGTTCAATGATTTTACGTAGCTGTTCCAACTCCTCGTTCTCGGTGCGTCCCCACTCCGGTGGTGGCCGTGCTGTACCGTGCACTATTGGTGGCGGTTTTTCGACTGTAGGCTAAAAAAGAAGAAGATAGAATTATATTAAGTTTTCTCAAAAGAAAAGTTTTTGATATTCGGAGGAGGACAGCTCCAGGCAAGTACGCTAATCCAGAAAAAGCGTGCCAGTCTTTAGCATATGAAGTCACTCCAGTAACATTAACGCCATGTACCAGCAATCCATAAAATCTCCCGGCTGTCCGTTTTATATATGCGTAAATTAAACCCGGGCTGGAACGCACCGGACTTGCCCGGTGCGATCATGTGTTTTAACAATAACTTTGGAGCAGTCAGTTTGCCAATCGTATGAGTGGTCGTTGCTTTACATTTAGCTTGTATACTTGTTATCGTAAACCACTGCAAATTTTGCACATAGAAAAATTAACAATTTCCGCTGAACGGGTCGCTCACTAAAAATGATCTAGCTATTCAGTGAGCAGTATTTTCGCAAAAATTTTCGTGACCATACGTTCGTGCTGTGCATATCTGGTGGCTGTATTCCAAATCAAATAATACAAGAATGAGAGGATATCCCCTTCAAATTTCAGCTTTCCACTTTTTTGTTCTTTCGAAGTTCCAGGTTTCTAGCTTTTCTGGTTGTCGAGTTGAAAGTGGGTGACAAAAAATGTGAACACACAGACACACAAACGCAGACTCTTACCGATATGCGTTTTTGCATCTGCATTTATGCAAAAATGCATAAAAAGGAGATTAGGCGCAATAGGCTAATATTTAAGCCGCTCTTTTCATCTTTCAACTGTTACCCGATTTTAAAACAAAAGCTGGAATCCAAATTAGTGAAAGTAATACTCGATAAAGCCAGAAATTGCTAGAAAGAACTGATACGCCACAGAAAACTTGGAAATATGATGATACACCTGAATAATATTTATTCCAGAACGCTGAGGAACTGAGAGGAAGAGAAAAAGACAAGCTGATGTGGCTTTAGGATGTTAGCTTTATCAAGGTCATCAAGACTGTGAGAATTATTCGTCTGAAACTACTGGCTTTTCTCAGAGCCAATTTGATGATGTATGCAACTGTTTTTGGTCCGAAAAATGCTTAGGTTACAAAAATATTCATTTTTCCCGCCCTCCTCCTCCTTTACTATACTATATATAATTTTGTTGTAAATTTCTTATTTAGTAACTTTCCTCATCAGTTTTGCCTTTACTCTGTTACCCTCATTTGTCATTTCTCCTGTCTGCTTTTATTCCAAAAATCATTGCAGTTATGAATATGACAAATAAAAAGACATACTTTTTCGAAAATAGTTCGACGATCGCCATATGATCGACGATCAAACTGACGCTCAAATTTCGATGCCACATTAATTTTTGGCTGAAAATGAATATGTTAGTACCAAAAACATCTCATTAGATCTTAGTCCTCTCCAAGGGGTGTTTATAGCTTTTTCTTAATATAATGCTCATAGTGTCGTTACGGCCCATACTGCCCTTCCTACTTTAGTATTTCTGTAACTAAGTAAACCGATAAGCGAAAACACACCGCAGTAACATCACTAACATGGGATACCCATACTGATTATCCGTACGATTTTGCACTGTGAAGTAACTAAACTTACTGGATGTGGTGAAGCAGCAGCTTCATTGGGATCCAACCCTCGTTGAAGTGCTCTGTGTCGTGCAGCCTGTCGCTCTCTTTCATGTAGCTCCTTTAGCTATAATTGAAATCCTGTTTAAGCGGTCACGACAAACTGCACAAAAATTAAAAATCGAGGAGATTTTCCAAGCAAGGCGAACAAATTCACTTACATCGTAAAGCTGTCGTTCGTGGCGTTTCTCGAGATCGTATTTAACGGCTTCCAGCTTACAGATATGCGCATGCAATTGCTGAATCTTTATTTTCAGATCATTCGTCAATAACTGCGAAACTACAGGCTTCTGGGATATTAAAGCCATGTAGGCACGTTTTGCTTCTTCTTTCTCCTCCTTGCTTTTACCGTTCTTCTACAACAATAGTTATAAGAATGATAGCGATAACAACAATAACAATAGCAGTAATGATAATAATAATATAAACTTGTTAAGGAAGCGAACACAGGCCATTTGCTAGTAATAACATTTTGCCACATTTCAATCCGCATTCCTGATCGAGAGGGATGTTAGCGAAAGGACAAATTTATATACCTCATGGGACAAAAAAATTAGGTTTTGCATGGGAAAGTCGGAGAAAAAAAACCTCTTATACCATGGATGCTTTTCCATTTCGTTCTTGCTTTTCCTGTTTCTGGAGGATAAAATTCGGAATGTTGCTGTTCAGCGAAACAATGCCAGCGAGCGAGTCGGCAAGCATCGCTTGCTTTTTGCGTCGCTCCTCTTCACGCTTCTGCTTTTGTGCCTCCATTCGTATTTTGCTTTCTTCCTCAAAAAAATGTGTTAGACATTTGAAATAAAAAGTAATTTCAGAAAATCATTTAATGAAGGAAGTAATGTGGGCAAAGTTTCTGGGATCCTCTCATATATGACTGAGATTTTCCAGAACATCTCCGGAAATGCTATATGAGATAAACCTGATTTGTGCCACATCTTGGAACCTCACAGGTTTGGTGTAATGATAATTAAGGCCTGTGCATAGGCTTGAACCACTGTTTCGAATTAGGTTTTAGGAAAAAACCAGGCCTTCAGCAAAACTTGCGCTATCGACTACTTTCAGCTTGCTAATTACATAATTTTCAGAAAAGGGAAAGAGGTGGAAGAGAAAACGAAGGGATAGACTACCAAACTTTTTCAAGCGGATGCTTGTTTTTTGAGGACTGTGGTCACTTCGGCACCTTTGAGCGCCTCCACCTCTCAGAGGGAGTGAATTATCAAGCGGGCCTACTCTGAAACCAAAACTCACTTCTTCCTGACGACGTTTCTCTTCAGCCAGCCGCATCTTTTCGGCCAGCTCCTTCTCTTCTTGCTCTCGTTCCCGACGTCGTCGTTCTTGTTTCTCGCGTAAACTTTGCAGCTCCTGCTCAACACGTTCACGTTCTGCCTTGCGACGTGCTTCATATTGTAGGCGATTTTCCTCTTCCTGACGTTTCTTCGCTGCCTAAAATTTGCTTCTTTACATTGTTCCTTGACATCGAAGCATCTAAATAAAGAAAAAAATTTTTGAAATTTATGAATTTTACCAGTACTGCCTTCGCAGCTTCCGTCATCGCTTCGGGTTCTCTTCCGTCCTTCTCC